CTAAACCCTAAACCCTAGGGGTCTCAAGTCAGGTTCCTAAACCCAAACTCCAAAAAAGCGCCAGCGACCGAAGACCGAGAATTCGGGACTTCAAAGACAGAAGAATGCTTGAGGGTTTAGGGTTTAGGGTTTAGGGTTTAGGGTTTAGGGTTTAGGGTTTAGGGTTTAGGGTGTCGGTTGAGGCTTTGGGCTTTGGGATAAACTAGTCTAGGGCTTTAGGGTTTGCGGGTTTCGGGCTTAGGGGTTCGAGATTTCGGATTTTTGGGTTCCGGTGTGCAGCGTATTATCCCTTGAATGGAAAGTAGGATGTAGCAGCACTGTCATTCACGTGAGGGGTGAGGGGGGCTCCAAATATTGGGTCCCTTTTGACGTCCTCTTGGTACGAGTGGTGTGCACTGTTGGACAGCTAAGCGACCCTGATTCAGAAATTACCAACATGCATGCCAGCCGTAAACCCGGTAAGTCCTCAACGGCAACAGCCTTGAGTTTAGAGTTCATGCTGAACTGTTTCGGGATCTACTCCTATAGCAATTCTACTTTACGGCTAGGGTTTAGGCTTGGGGCAGGGCCAGTTACAGCTGCAGCAAAAACAATGCATCGTGAAGGGTTCGAGTCAACCACACAGGCACTGACAGCCCAATCCCGCAACACTAAACTTACACCGCAAAGCCCAAACAAGGAATTGGCTGGTGGAAGGCAGGGTGACGGCTGTCCCGAACCGGCGTAGCGAAACGCATCAAAGTTTTGAAGAGGATGTGAACTGGGTTTTGTACGGGCTTCTGCCTCAGGGCTTCTATACTGTTGCTACAGGTATCGTTGGATGACACGCCAGAGTCGTGCTAAAGTCAACTAGGCAAGGCGTTTGTGTTCATCGGGTTGTGCAGTGTCTTGGCTCGAGTCAGTGTGGGCTTGTTCGGGGAAAGGGTCCTCCCGGGTTAACCCCTAGAAGTAGCATACGCCAATACTAAGAAGTGAGTGCCCCTAGCCAGGCTTGCGTTTCTTTGCCAAGTGATCTTGTGCTTTTTCGGCTTACGTAGAGTGTATTCTAGGTCCTAGGTGGGCCTTTGCGACACATTGTCCCCAATTGGGCTCAACACGATCTGATGTACGAAACTTGTTTAAGAAGCTTGCAAGGTAGTTAAACCAGACCACCGGGAGGATCCAAAAAATAGATCCCTTAAAGGTGTTCCTAGAAAGTACGCTTTAGTAGTTAGGGTCCCAATTAGGGGATCTACTTTTTAGATCCTCCAAGTTTTCTTGAAAACCCTAAACCCCAAACCCCTAAACCCCTAAACCCCTAAACCCTAAACCTAAACCCCAAACCCTAAACTCCCTAAACCCTAAACCCCTAAACCCCAAGTTAGTTCGAAGTTGCGATATCATCCTAAGCCCAAAACCCCACCCTAAACCCTAAACCCTAAGCCCTAAACCGTAAACCCCAAACCCCTCCCTTCGTAACTCCTTACGTTTCAGACTTCAACCGGGCCCGACATCCTAAGAACCGGCTCGGGCTTTAGGGCTTTAGGGCTTTAGGCTTTAGGCTTTAGAGTTTAGGGTTTTGGGTTTCGGGTGTAGGAGTGTAGGGTTTAGGGGTTTAGGACGGTTTAGGACTTTAGGGTTTAGGAGTTTAGGGCAGTTTAGGGTTTTGGGGGTTAGCGAGACGAGGACTAGGAGTTGTGGATAGAGGCATTTCGGAGATTCCGGGGCTCAGCGTCTCCGTGGCTCGAGGGTTTAGGGCTTAGGGTTGGAGGAGGTTTGGGCTTAGGGTTTAGGGTTTAGGGTTTAGGGTTTAGGGCTTAGGGTTTAGGGGTTAGGGTTTAGGGTTGGAGGGGTTGAGGGTTTAAGGTTCGAGGGGTTTAGGGTTTAGGGTTAGAGGGGTTTAGGGTTGAAGGTTAGAGGGGTTTAGGGTTTAGGGTTAGAGCGGTATAGGGTTTAGGGTTACAGGGGTATAGGGTTTAAGGTTAGAGGGGTTGAGGCTTTAGGTTTAGAGGGGCCTAGGGTTTAAGGCTTCAGGGGTTAAGGGCTCAGGTTTTAGGTGGAAGTAGTGTTTTTGTTTTGCTTTTGCCCTGCAGGGTCGTTTTAGACCCGTATAGCAGACCGGACATTTTTTGCTACTGGCTCGCTGTGTTCGGCGGGGCCGGAGCAAAGAAAAAACACCCGGCCCGGGAAGCATCCGGAGCAAAGAATCAACACCCGGCCCGGGAAGCATCGCTGGCCCGCAGTGAGTCAGGGAGCATCGAGGGCGGCGGGGCCCGGACAAAGAAAAGAAACACCACCGCGCCCCGGTAGTATTTTTTGTTGTTTTTGCTGTTACCCGGCCGGGTCTGTTTGGAGCCGATATGGTAAGCCAGACGTTTTTTGTTATTGGCTCGCCGGGTGCCGCGGGGACGGAGAAAAAGTGCGCCTTGGCCCGAACAAAACAAAAGCAAGCAACAAGGCGCAACAACCGAAAACAAAAACACCCCGGCTGCCGGTCGGGTGTTTTTTTTTGTTTGGTTCGGGCCCCGCCGCCCCCGACGCTCACTCGCTCAGTGCGTCCCGGGCCTCCCGTGCCGGGTGGTGTTGTTTTCTTTTTCGCTCCGGCCCCGCCGAACTCGGCGAGGCAATAACAAAAGATGTCTGGTTTACCGCATCGGGTCTGAAAAGACCCGGCGGGGCAGCAGCAAAAGAAAACGCTTTGGGGGCGACAGCAAAACATAATTCTAGGGATCGGTGACACGGGACAACAGCAACAGAAACACCCAAAACCCTAAACCCGGAACCCTAAACCCTAAACCCTAAACCCTATTACAGGCTTGAAGCAAGTCAAGCATCGAGCTCCGGACCCTGAACCCTATCTTCAATCGGAACCCTTAACTGCACGGAAGGGATCATGACGGTTTAGGGTTTAGGGTTTAGGGACTCGGTAACCGGAGTTTTCAAAAAGGTAACGGTACTTATAGTTACATGCAGCCCGAGTTAGGGTACTTAGAAGCTTACTTACTAAGTCCCCTACCCTTTAACCCCTATAGAAGCTTGCAAGCCCTTAGAATTCTACAAGTCCTGTAATCCTCCGAGCAGGGAAGTGCAACGACGTGGTCATCTTGCAGCTGCGGGTCCGCGACGGTGACATCCAGGTACACTGGGGCGAAGGTTTGCATGGGGAGACAGAGGGAGAGAGAGCGAGAGAGAGAATTGTTACGTATGAGTCATGTTTCTGCTCATGATGGTTGCGATCAGCGCACCATTCCTTTCCTTTGCTAGCCTGTCTCATAACATGCATCGTTATTGCTGCAACTATGAACCAAGAGCAAGGCTGTACGTAGCATTGGCTGCAAGTAGGTTCAGTAGGAGTTCAGACTGTAGGTTGCTGCATTCAGAGGTGGTAGCAACTGAAGACTACAACGGTTCAGTTTGGAGCTTTTGGCGCTTACGGGATCCAGAACAGAAGACGGCACGAGTCCACAGTGGTGCGCTAAGTGTCCTAGGGTTGAGGGAAGCACAGTAGAGTTCCGGGTTGTCATGTCTTCCGGCCGTGTCGCATCGGACTGCTGCTCAAGCAAGGCAAGGACATGTCGGGCTAGTCTTCCTTTGCCACATACAGCTCTGTTGACTGAGCATGTCGGAAGCCTGCGCTGCGCAGGTTGATTCTGACAAGGAGAGGCGTTCAAATTGCCCTAAGAAACCTGGCCCTAAACCTCATGAGCCCGAACTAAGCCCGACAGCCCAAAATCCTAAACCCCAAAACCCTAAACCAAAGACCCTAAACCCTAAACCCTGAACCCTAAACCCTAAACCCTAAACCCCGATCCTATATGAGGAGACTCGGGCACGCGTCGCTACGACGGAGCAGGTCAGCGATGTGCTCCTTGACTTCGGAGAAGCGACCATGCTTGCGAGCTCTGCGTCTGGGTCTTTGTTAAGGAGAATAGTAGGAAATGGAGGTCAGGTTGAATGGTTTAGGGTTGAAGGTTGAGGGATTATAGGGTTTAAGGTTTAGGGTTTAGGGTTTAAGGTTTAAGGCAACGTTCCTCTACAAGAGACCAGGTGCTGCTTCGTCTAGCCTCTCCAGTGTTCAACCGCATGCTTGCGAGTGGCATGAAGGAGGGGGTTTTAGGGTTTAGGGTTTAGGGTTTAGGGTTTAGGGTTTAGGGTTTAGGGTTTAGGGTTTAGGGTTTAGGGGAGGCACAGCTAAGCACCATCAAGGTGGACGTGGCAGTGGCGACCAAGACGCAGTTTCAGGTTTTCTATGCCTTACTCGGACCTGGTGCGTTTAGCTTCGACAAGGTGACGAAGGACAGCATTGACGGGCTACTTTCCATCAGTGACTACTATCAAGTGGACTTCGTGAAGGAAGCCTGCATAAAGAAGCTTGATGAACTTCCGGTCACAGCCCATCGCTTCATGCAAGCACACAAGCATGGCCTTAAGAGGCAACGCGACAGATGCCTTCATGAACTGGCTAGGGCTGGCGAGGAAAGGGAGTTGGTGTTGCTCCACTCGGCCAACGCAGATCTCCTGCTGGAAGTGACGCTGAAGAAGCGCAAACTCTTCGAGAGGTACGAACACAAGGTTCCTTCGCATCAGTAATCGTCAAGATGTGCCACAAGAGCACGTGCACGTGCAGACGGCACACTGGGGTGTGGGAGGGGCCTCCCGTTGCCGGGTTCTCCAACAGTACCCTGGTGTCCTTTTATTTTGGGGTCTCCTCCTTACTAAGCCCTAAACCCTAAACCGTAAACCCTAAAACCTAAACCCAAAACCCTAAACCCTAAACCCTAAACCAGGAGAAGGGGTACCCGGGTACCCTTATCATCCAGGGGATCCTGGGGAACCTAGTTTGCAATGTTGCGGAGCAGGCTTGTTTTCTTGGCCGTGCAGTGGCAAAAAGAGAGCTCCGAGGCCCGGCCTACACCCTACACCCTAGACCCTAGGTTTAGGGTTTAGGGTTTAGGGTTTAGGGTTTAGGGTTTAGGGTTTCTATATGGGTGGTTGTCGAAATTATGGTCCCTTTTTGGGTCCTTATTATATTTAGGGTACCCCAAAAGGGACCATAGTTTTGACAACTACGCATATACCTTGAACCCTAAACCCTAAGCCGTCAAACCCGAAGCAGTAAACCCCAAACCGCAGCCCTACACCCGAAGCCCTAAACCCAAAGACCCTGAACCCGAAGCCCTAAACCCAAAGACCCTGAACCCTAAGCCCTAAACCCAAAACCCTCAGCCCTAAACTTTCAAGAGCGAGAGAGGTTTAGGGTTTAGGGTTTGGGGTTTAGGGGTTCGGGCTCCTTTAAGGGCCCTCCGTTAAGGGTTCCGTTAAGAGCTCCTTCAAGGGCTCCTTAAGGAGGGAGAGCGAGCCGGAAGATGGTGTAACGCTGTGGTGAAGAGTAGACGTGTAGCATTATTCTGCAGGGTTCCTTGGCGGTTTAGGGCTTCGGGTTTAGGGTTTAGGGCTTAGGGCTCAGGGTTTAGGGTTTAGGGTTTAGGGTTTAGGGCCATAGTTCCCCCAATACCCAACCTTCCAACGTTCGGGGCTCTTACAATATAGTACGCGTAGTAATCTGAAAGTATAGCCTTTTCTTTCCCTGGCTTATTCGGGAAGTGAGTTCAGCATTACGCATACATGCCCCCAAAAGCTCAGTTTAACATAGGCAGGCAGGTAGCGAAATTTGTATAGAAGCCGCCAGAAATTCAACTAAGTCAGGCCTCTAAGTTCGTACAGAAGCTGCTAAAAGCCTCAATTCGACTTAGTCGGGCCCCTAAGCCCTAAACCCTAAACCCTAAACCCTAAACCCTAAACCCTAAACCCTAAACCGAAGCCTTAAGTTGAATCAGGTGTATATGACTCCGCTTAAGAAGGCAAGTTTAAACTTCGGCTTGTGAGCTGGGCTGCCCAGAGACTCCAATATTCCTTAATTAAGGAATATTCCTCAAATTATAGTAGGATCCTTAATATGATTTAAGGTATATTCCTTAATTAAGGGATATTGGAGTCTCTGGCTGCCTATTTTGGAGCCTTCGTTCGAACTGTTGATGATATACATCCTGCATTACTCAAAGGCCCTAAACTATGGGAACTATGGTATATTCGTTATTATGGGTAATGCAGGTTCTATATAGTCATTCTAATCAATAAGGCATGCAATCCCTGCCGGAGCATTCCCCACCACGTCGAGGCGCAAAGGACCGAACCCCGACGCGCTAAACCCTAGGCACTAAACCCTAAATAAACCCTAAACCCTAAACCCTACACGAACCCTAAACCCTAAGCGCTAAACACTAAGCCGACTAAGCCCTAGACCCTAAACCCTAAACCCTCAACCTAAACCTTGAGCTCGGCAATCCGAATTTCCCGAGAACTCCAAGCATAGACCCGAGGACTCCGTTGCCCTAAACCCTAAACCCTAAACCCTAAACCCTAAACCCTAAACCCGTTGCCGTACTACTTCAGAACGAGAGGACTTACGTACCCACAGAGCCGGAGACCCCTTAGGGTTTAGGGTTTCGGGTTTAGGGTTTTAGGGTTTAGGGTTTAGGGTTTAGGGGTTTAGGGTTTAGGGTTTCGGGTTTCGGGTCTAGGGTTTAGGGTTTACGGTTTAGGGTTTAGGGTTCAGGTTTAGGGTTTCGGGTCTGTAGGGTTTAGGGTTTTTGGTTTAGGGTTTAGGGTTTAGGGTTCAGGTTTGGGGTTTCGGG